CTGGGGACAAAACAGCCCTTCCCCCGGCCCGGGCGTGCAGCAGAAGGCCTCTGCCCCTTGCGTGCAGGGACAGCCCGAGCTGCCTTGTCCGAGGGCTGCTTTGCAGTTGAAGGGGCAGGCGTTGTTCGCCCCCCGGCCCTGGGCAGGGAAGACCTCGGGGGTCCAAACCCCCCTGGCGAGGGGTGCGTCCCCACCCAGCTGGGCACGGGGCCTTGCGCACCCGGGGTGTGAAGAAGCCGGGAGGGGTAGTGAGCGGCTGGATGCGAAGCCGGTGGTGGTGGTGGCTCCGTGGAGCCCGGGGCGGTCACCCCAGTTCAATGCCCCCACCTCAGGGACGGCCCTGGCGTCCAGTCCCCTTGTGAAGATCTCCAGGGCAGGGGCCTGCACCGCCCCTCTGGGAGTTCATACCAGTCGGTCTCGCAGGTCGCAAAGACGTTTTTTCCTTACACCGGCAGTCCTCCGACTTGCGACACAACTGTTTCCTGAAAACGGCGTCTTCAGTCGAAACGTCGTCACTCGGAACCGATTTTCCCAATGTTATAAATGGGGGATTGGTTCCTGAACCTAGGCCGGATGACCTATTTTCACCAAAAATAACCCCTAATTTTGTACTCGATCAATTATAGATGAGCAATACAGCTACATTAATGCATTTATATTGTAAATAGAATCATATTGATTTGGAAGGACCTCTTTGAGATGACTTTGCTGGGCTTTTTGAAGGGTTGGGGGCTGGGGTCTTCTCGGGAGTCTTGGCTGCTTTCTTAAAGAAAGCGTCCAGGGAAGTTAGGACAGACGTTCTCCAGGGAGATGGGCGACGCAGAGACTTGTTCGCTGGCGTGGCATGGCATCAGATCAAGCGTTGTAAAGTCAAAACTGACGTTATAAAGTTGAAACGGCATCGGTTTATAACCCTTGTAACTCGAAATGTTGTAAGTTGAGCACTGCCAGCATCCAGTCTGAAATCTCTTCTCCTAGGAGTTTATGACCAGCTCTCCTTGCCTACGATCCCATAAAAAAGCAAAACCTGGGACACGGTTGACAGGCTACAGAGAGTAGCCGTGCAACTGAGGGAGGCTGGTCAGGCTCACAGCTGATAAAGCAGCAAGGAGCCACGGACAACTCAAGGCAGGTTAGAGTTGGCAGGAGACATGCTAATGCTGGTCCTAATCGGGCTGCCAGGTGTTGCTCCTGGGCCAGTCTTCAAATTCAGGGTGGGAGTGCCCTTTGCGCCACTTCGTAGTACAGTTGTTCTTTTATGTAGGTGCGAGTGCTGGTTGCTGACAAAGAAAAATGGGGGGAAAAAGGCTGCATGTGCTTAAAAACAAAGTGTGAAAGAAAACAGCATGAAAGAAAAAATGTAGTCAAGGTCCAGCTTATGGACCTTTACAAAAGACCTGAAGACTTAAGTAAGATAAAAGCGCAGAAAAAGAAATGGATATCACAAGAACCGATGAGGGAAGATATGCAAGGCAGATTTCGGAAGCTGAGGTGGAGGGTATCAGACCTCAAGATAGACCAAGGCAACAATGGGAAGACGACACTCAAACTGGTCTGGAAGGGGTAGGTGAAAATGCAACAAGGTGGGAGGAGGCTGCACAAGACAGGCTGAGATGCAAAGGCCCCTGAGGTCTGTGAGGCCAGAGAGAGAATGCCTTTTCAGGGGTTTGGGATGCAATCCTGATTTATTACTGGTAAACATTGTCCACCTCTGCTTGGGGCTTCAGATGCTTCCAAATCCTTTGGCAGGCATCCTACGTGTAGGCCCAAGCCCAAATGCTTGGGGTTCAGATGCCCCTGACTTTGTCTTGCCCTTGGCCAGACAGCGGCAGGGACAAGCTAGGGAGGAGTTTCCCATTTCCATAAAGTCAGTGGATAGCCAAGATCCTCCCACTGGAACCTGGCCAGGGGAAGCTAATTGTGGAGGATCTCACAGGGAGTCCTGCCCTCAAGCAGACAAGGGTGTGACCCGCCACTACACAGTGCCATTTTAATTGCATTACTTCGGTCAGGATATTTCCTCTGCCAGGTTGGTGACTGTGGCGTTTCTTCTGCCCTGATTTCAGGATTGCCTGAGGAAAAAAAACAAAACCTCATGCTGTGGTGGGGTTAGAGAGTTGTATATGTGACAGCCCAGCAACTGTGCAAGAAGCAAGGGGTTTTACGGTAATATCTTTTATTGGACTAACTGTATAGTTGGGAGAGATGTGACAAATGCTTTCAGGCACAATAGCTTCTGTCTAACATCTCTTCCAGCTAGATAATTGGTCCATTAAAATACAGCACCAAAAAAGCCTCTGGCTTGTGGATAATCCAGAAAGTTTGGTCATTTAATTAGTTGCTTTTGCAGGTCTGCTTCTGTCCTGGGACTGCTGTCTGCTTAAGGCAAACCCATCTTTTACTGGCTGTACCAGATGTGAGGCAGTGTAGTTAGCACCTGTTGTGGGAGCTAACTCGGGAGAACTGATCATCTCTCTAGTTCAGACATACTGTGCAAGACTGATGCAAGCTATATGAATTTTAGCCTGTTTCCAGGTCCTAAACGCTATTAGTGTAGTTAAAGAGGCAACGTGGTCCTTTGTTCATAAGTGTGTCTTGCACTTACAGAATTAAGAAGTGTGTGCATATAGGAATAACTTCCTCTATTACAAGGATCCAAACACCTCTTTGATGGAATGCAGCAGCCACTGCTCCTGTTTGCAAATGAAATGTGATCTGCTGATGTAAAAGAATATGTGTATTTTCATTCATGTGGCAAACACAATATCTGTATCTTCTGTACAGAACTGTGTTTTTAGTTTTTGTAAAACCTGAATTTAGCCCTGTGGGAACAAAAAAAGCAAAGCATGTAATCATGACCTGTGTACCAAATACCTAAAACTTGCAGTGCTGTCAGCATTATGTATCGACAGAGGAGGGTCTTCTGTTTGCTGGTGTCCTGTTGCTTTCAATCTGAGTTTTTCAAGGGAGCTTTTTAAAAAAAAAAAAATCATTCAAAGAGGAATATAAAAGAAATTTTACTCCTATGAAATGAGACATAATTTGTCTCAAGTACCATAAACTGGAAATCCTGCTTATATTGTGTAATATAATCAAATGAACAATAGACATCTTTAAAGAAAGATGATAAAACTTTTACTCCTATTTCTTTCAAAATACTTTTTGTTTTGCTGGCTGAGAGCTTCATTGTAGACATTTCTTGCTTCTAAGGGTAATGTAATAGGCATTATTAAAAATATCTCTTTTTGTAGAAGCATTTATTTTTCATGCAGAAAATAACACATATATGTATCATGTTCAACTCTTAATTTTGCCAGCTCAGAGTACTTACATTCCCAACTGCATTTTTGTAATTGTTGACCTATCTAACGTGCAGTATTTAATGTGGTGCTTTGTCCTGATTCAGCAATAGCTAAGCAACAGAGATTGTTAGCTGCTGTCACAGCAGGCTTTTCAAGCTCAAGCAGTAGAGGCATATGGTTTTAGAACTATAGGTCCAGCATTCAGCACTTGTCCTGCCCTGGGGCTGAGACTTACCCCTGTAGAAGTAGTTCCAGTGTTTTCAGTAACCCTCTTGTGAATAAGGACAATTATAATAGGATATAATAGTTAAGATTTGGATATGATGTCTGTTTGGACATTGAAGTGATGCATGTGAGTAACTGTTTCCTAGAAAGATGTGTGTTCAAAAAATTGAGAGTTAACTTTTGGATTTACTGAAATATTTCTATAAAATTGTTCCTATCTTTATATTTAAGGAAAACTGTTAATCAATTGTATAACTGTTTATTACAGGCATGTGGGGGCATTCAATGACAGTTCAAGATTACCAAGACCTTATAGATAGAGGATGGCGAAGGTAAATTAAAAAAACAACCCTTCCTCCCCCCAAAAAGAGGCTGCACAAAACAAAAAAGGGTCATTTCATAGAGCATTTAATAGAAATGTTTTTTTCCAGACTGCACACAATTTTTAAACAAACCTCCAGAATGAAAGCCTCATATGCAGCACTGAGGACCTGAAGAATGCTTCTGATTCTCATTGTCCTAGCTAATATAAATGTAAACAATATATATGGTTGTGGTTTATTTGGAATTTTAAAACTTTCAAAGCAGAGGTAAAAGACTATTTCTTTAAGCATAATGGGCACGTCTACATGAGACACTTAACGTGCATTGGGATAATTCTGCTGCACATCAGTGCGGCTGGCAAAAACCATGCTAATGTGCAGTAGTTTTAGTGCAGTGTGCATTAAGCGTCACACAGAAACCATTCATCTGCACTAATGTGCAGTAGTGTCAATTATGGCGCATTAAGTTAGTCCGTGTTATTACAGGTACTAAACTTAATGCGCCGTAATTATGGTGCATTAATTAATGTGTAGATGTGCCCATCGTGTCTTAAATTGATGCTATTCCTTTAACACTGAGGTTTAAATATAAGGCTTAGGGATTTATTTGGGGGGGTGGGGGTTTGGATGAATGACCATCATCTTTTTAACAAGGATAAAAAAAAAAGTGCCGAAGACTTCTAAGGTTGTATTCAGTCAACTAAATAAATGAGTTGTGGTTTTTTTTCAAAAAAAGTTCAGCTTGCAGCTCTTCAGGACTTTTGAGTGTCCAATCATTATTTGGATGATTAATGCTGGGACTTAAAAAAAATCCATTTGTAGTGTTCAAGAACACTTGTGATATCTTGTACATCTCCCACTGTACTCTATAATTTATATAAACTGTTAATAAGAAGACTGGGATAACTTAGGAAAAGTTATTTTCAGAATATGTGGGCTTTCTGCCTTTTGAAGCTGGAAGATGTGGTTGAATTTGAAATTTTATTTTTCTATTTGAACAAAGAATGTTGTTCTTGTTTCCTTGTCTCCCAAAGCAGTCTGTTGGTTTCCACAAGAAGCACCTTGCTACTTAACTTTTTCCCCAGTCTCCATTCTGGGCACTTTCCTGTTGTGGATATTAGTTCATGCCTGTTTAACTTCTCATACATTTTCTAAGGAGCAGAAGGAAAAGTGTGACATGATCTTTACTTTTGCCTTAGAATCATAGGTCATAGGACCGGAAGGGACCTGTAGGATCATCAAGTCCAGTCCCCTGCCATGGGCAGGAAGTTGTTGGGCTCAGGCGAGCTTGACAAGGTGCCTGTCCAGCCTCATCTTGAACACCTAAGGAGGGGGACTGCACCACCTCTGCTGGGAGTGAGTTCCAGATTCTGGTGGCCCTTACAGAGAAAAATTTCTTTCTTATATCTAGCCTGAATTTGCCCTCTATTAGCTTGCGCCCATTGGTCCTCATCCTCATTTGAGGGGCCTTCCTGAAGAGTTGCTCCCCTAGATCTTGATGCTTACCCCTGACGTACTTGTAGGTGTCTATCAAGTCACCTCTCAGCCTTCTCTTACTCGGGCTGAATGCCCAGTTCCCGGAGTCTCTCCCCATAGGGCCTGTCCTCCATGCCCGTGACCATACAGGTGGTCCTTCTCTGCACCCTCTCAAGCTTATCAATATCCTTGAAGTGCGGTGCCCAGAACTGTACACAGTAGTCTAGCTGAGGCCTCACCAGCGCCAAATAGAGAGGGAGGAGCACCTCCCTGGATCTGTTGGCCACACAATGGCTGATGCACTCCAGAGTTCAATTTGCCTTTCTGGCAACTTCTTCGCACTGCTGGCTCATATTCATCCTCAGGTCAATTGTGACCCCCAGGTCTAACTGAGATGCTGTGCCAGCCAGTGGACCACCCCCATTGTGTAATTATGGTCAGGGTTCTTCCTACCTAGATGAAGGTCTTTGCACTTTTCCCTATTAAACCTCATCTGATCGCGTTCTGCCCATGAATCCAGTCTGTCAAGGTCGTCCACAGCTTGGTATCATCCGCAGACTTAATCGTTGAGTTTTCCACCTCCTCATCCAAGTCATTAATAAATATATTAAAGAGCAGGGGTCCAAGCATCGATCCCTGGGACCTCCAGGATGAGGCCATCCCATCGATTACCACCCTCTGGGAGCGGCTTCTAAGCCAGTTGTCCACCCACCTCTGTAGATTGCTCCAGCCCAGTACCTTCCAGTTTGTTTGAGAGGATCCCGTGGGGAGCAGAATCAAAGGTTTTACTGAAGTCTAAGTAAATCACCTCCACCTCGTGTCCCTCGTCCAGATGGCTAGTTACCTGGTTGTAGAAGGGCACAAGGTTTGTCAGGCATGATCTACCCTCAACAAAGCCGTGCTGGTTGCTTCTTAACACCCTATCAGTTACCAGCTTGTGATTGGCCTCCTTAACCATTTTTTCAAAGATATTACCCAGGACCGAGGTCAGATTGACCAGTGTGTAGTTTGCAGGGTCATCCCTCTTCCCTTTCTTAAAGATGGGTACCACATTGGCCTTCTCCTCATTGTCCGGGACCACTCCTGAGCTCCATGACTCCTCAAACAACTCGGCCAGTGACGCTGCCATAAGCTCAGCCAGATCTTTCAGGATGTTCGGGTGCAGATCTTTGGCCCCATCAGACTTGAAAATGTCCAAGCATTGTAGGAGATCCCTCACCTGTTCAGGACTGATTTCATGTTGTCTGTTGTCTTCCCCATGTTCCCTGGGGCTCTGGTCAGGTGGAAAGCCCCCGTTTGATTTCAGTAATACCGATGTCACGCATGTATTTAGGAGTTCTACCTTTTTGCAGACATCAATTGTGGGCTGCCCAAGTATTCAGTAGGGGTCCGACAGTGAAGCCCAATTGTTTTTTTTTTGATCCCCATGTATCTGTAGAAGGACTTTTTGTTGTATTTTATTCCGGTTGCCAGCTTGATCTCCATGCCTGCATTAGCTTTTTGTGTCTCGTATCTGGAGGCCCTGGCAATACTGGTGTATTCCTTTCTGGTTGATGAGCCATTCTTCCATTGCATATATGCTTCTGTTTTCTTTTTCAGTAGCTCCCTAACATCCCTTGGGACTGTAATTTTCAGTTCAGTCAGTGATTTAACTGATCAGAGTCTTGTTAACTTTATTTTGCTGCTTGCAAAACCTGGGAGCAAGCACTGATGCTTTGCACCTATATGCAGGTAGAATTAATGATCCTGTAGTAAGAAAACAATCTCTTAGTAATTGCAAGTGCTGAAAATGTATATTTTTTAGAAAAATGAAATCTTAGGTTGTCAGAAACAGGTAAATAGGCCCTTCCAGTCTTCAAGAGAAGCTTGCCACTGAATAAAAAAGTTTGTCTTATTCAGAATGGGGGCTCAGAATAAAAATTGTGTCTTGGAGAGACATGGCTAAGATGGGATACTTTCATAGTTGTGTTCTCATGTCACCATTCCCATTGCAGAAAGACCTAAATATGAATTGTCTTGTTAAAATAAGAATGTGGAAATGCTGCATGATAGCAAATGAATGAACCTACTATGTAGATATTATTGCTTGAAGGAATAATTTCATTTACTTTACAATAACTTAGACTTTTCAGTGAATGAATTTTATCTGATGCACAGATTAAAATGTAATAAAACTTTTATTACTTTTAGAAGTGGGAAGTATGTCTACAAGCCCATTATGAATGAAACATGTTGTCCTCAGTATACAATAAGGTAAGATCTTATTGCATATGAATAATACATTTAATATTGTGGTGGTCATTGAACATTTCCAGTTGTGATGCCTCTTCATTATAGGCATTCAGGATGTTTTAATACCTCCTTCGGTTTGAAATAGAGTTGGATAGTAAATTTACTTTTTACTGGTGTTGAATTCCTTGAATGTTAAATGTCTAAAAAGATTCAAATTATGTATGCACCCAGGCCTATCCTAATTAGTTAACCAATTTATGGCAGCATCTGTGCTGATGTCCTTTAAATTATTTGGTGGTTTCATACCAGTTCTTAATAGATATGTGAATGTATCTGACAGGCAGCCTCCCTGGCTTGAGCTGCAAAGATGGTAAATAGTTTGAATGAAGGTAAAAATGATTCCTAGGCAATGGTGAGGGTAGTGATAGTGTCAGAAGAATTTGCATTGTTGTCACCAGTGTGGCATCTAATACATGGGTAGCAAGGACTTCAAAGTGTCAATAAGCACTTATCTCGAGCAATATACCACACTTTAATTTATTTAGTGGGTGTGTAATTTCCTTCCGTTTATGCAACTGTAAGGTCAGATGAGGGGTTGTATCATGCAGTACAAGGCAACAGAACATCAGAAACATGAAAATGGATTTAATTTAATGGATGGTGACAAGGTTTACAAAGGAATTTAACAGAAAAAATTGAAAAAAAAATATTTGCATGAAATAATATCTGGAAAGTTCAGATAACTTTTAGTATTTTCTTTGAAATGCTATTTCTTCAGAGAGAGACATTTCTTTAAAATGTTTGTTTCATTTTTTAGATGTCAAGTTCTGCATTTTCAACCTTCCAGATCTCACAAAAAAGCTCTGAAAAAAGTGCTGAAATTTCTTTCTAAAGGAGATGTTTCAAAAATGGCTGGTGAAGGAAAGAATTATGGTGGGTGATATCTTTTATTGGACTGATTACACGGTTGGGATTTCTGGACAGAATTATTTTTACAAATGGATAATGAGCCATTGGTGTGTGTTCTTTTACAAAAAAAAGTGTGGTCAAGTATTTCAAGGGATTTGAAATTTTACAATCTCATGGGTGGGAGAAGTACTCTGGAATTTAAGCACTGCATCTGTTATTTCTAAACCAGTTAATGGAGCAGGTAGATCATATCTACCATCTAAGAGGGGTACCGTATAGCTCAGGGGCAGGCAATTATTTTGGTTGGAGGGCCACTTAATAAAAGTTTTGGTGAGCTGTTGAGGGCCACAAGGGTAGCCCAGTCCCTTGATGAGTGCCCTGCCCCCTGGTTGCCATCTTGGGATTGAAAGTCCCACCTTTGCCACCAGAAGTCCCTCCCCTTGCTCTGGAAGTGCCATCTTGAAACCGAAACCCCCCCAAATCATATACTAAAAAAAAAAAAAAATCAAACGTCTACTATAACTTATTTTAATATTATTTAAAAAATATATTTTTCCTGATTTAGGTGTGTTTGCATAGTGTATATAGTGGTGATTGCATAATAGCTCACAATACAGTCTTACTCTTGTATATTGGGTGGGGTTGTGTGTTTGGGGGGTATGTGTGTGGGGTCTGTGGTTGGGGTGGGGCTGTGGGAGTGTGTGGGTGTGTGTGGCATTATGGTGGAGGGTGGGAGTGTGTGTGGGGGGTATGGGAGGGTGCAGGTGTGTTTCGGGGAGTGGAAGGGTGTGGGGGTGTGGGGAGGGGTCCATGGAGTCTCTTGAGTGTGCCAGTCCCTGAATCTGCATGTGCTGGCGGTGAGCAGGGCCAGCCCTGCCCAGCCCCATAGCGCTTCTGCCCAAGTCCCCGGCTGTACTTGGTGGCAGGGGGTAGAGCCAGCCCCACCTGGCCCCATAACGTGCAGCTCCCATGCTCCCACTCAAGTCCCTGGCTTCAGGTGGCGGCAGCATTCAGGGCCGGGCCGGGCCAGGCCCGCCCTGCCCCATAGCACTGCCACCCCAGTCTCTGTCTGTACTTGGTGGTAGGGTGCGGGGCCAGCCTCACTCAGCCCCATAGCTGCAGCTCCTGCGCTCCCACCCCAGTCCCCGGCTGCATGTGGTGGCAGCATGCAGGGCCAGCCGCACCTGGCCCCATAGCATACAGCTCCCTGCGCTCCGTCCCTTTCCCCCAGACGGAGTCCCTGGCCCCCGCCCAGCGGGGCCTGTACTTGAATTCCAACTCACAGGCAGGGAGGCTGGGAACAGTCATGGGGTGGCCAGCAAAAGCCTTTGCAAGGCAAAGTCTTTTTGTCTCTCTTACCTCCTAGCTCAGGGGTAGGGCTGGTCAGGCCAGGCTGGGGGGAGGGGG